TTTAATGATAAACCACTGTTCTTAGTAGATTTGGCAGATGGGGTCTAGGTATATCGGCGGTGTGTGCCACCTGCATAGTTACTTTACAAATAAGAAAACAAACAAGTGATATTCTAACCTAATATTTGGTAATACATATAAATATAATTCAGAAGAAAATGAGGAGAAAAAATTTCCCTGCAACTTACTGATCCTGCAGGGAGACTTTTCAAGTTGTTTCCACTCCTACTTTTTTTTTTAATTGAGAAAAGTTTTGCTGCAATAATTCTCATCATGTTTCTTGGTTATTTTTCTTGATTGAGATATTTTTATTTTGACAGCCTTTATAGTGTTCTAAGTGAAAAGAGATATTTTCAGTAGGGAGAATATTTTAAATAGATGAAAGTCATATCCAGCTTCCAGTCAGGCATGTAAGGAACTTGGAAGATATCCTTCCCATACCGAACAGACTGAAAGTCAACAATTCTTAGATCCATTAGAGAACTGAGGTCACAGGGAAAACCATTACCCCTAAAACTGGAGAGACAGACAGGCAGGTACAGAGAATCACAACTTACTGAAGTAGAAGCTACTGAACAAAAGCCTCTGACCCTATACTGTAATTGACAAATTGCTGCAGAATAAATGTGGACAAGCTTAAGAGATAACTATGTCAGGGTGACTTATTCTTAAGGGGCAGTCTTTTAATTGGTATTGGTAAAACAAGTCTAATTGGCAGAAGAAAAAAAAGATTCAACTATATATTGTCAGTAAGAAACCTACTTTTAATGTAAATACATGGATAGATTAAAAATAAAGGAAGGGAGAAAGATATACCATACTAACATTAATCAAAAAAAGTGGGAAAAAAAGACTTTGAAACAAAGAAAATTGTCAGGGATAAAGAAAGACACTACAAATTATAAAGAGATTATTATTCCAAGAGGACAAAGCAGTCCTTAAGGTGTAAGTGCCTAACATCAGAATATCAAAATATGGGAAGCAAGACCTGATAGAACATCAAGGATAGATAGATGAATCCACTGTTATAGCTAGAGATCAAGGCCATCAATAAAGGACAGATTCAGTAGGCAGAAAATCAGGGAAGACATCATTGAACTTTCTTTCAGAATCAAACTGTTATGGTCTGAACCAACAATTGGCTGCTTCCCTTGCAATCAATCAAATCAAGAGACAGAGAGCTGGGAGAAGTAAGGAGTTTTATTCTGATACCTCGGAATCAAGGAATAGGCTGTGTATCCACTAAAATCATGTTCATTTAAGCAGAGTTTCCATCCAGTATTTATAATAAAACATACAGTTTCTTATCATTTTCCCACTGTTAATTAATAATGACTACATGCCATATGACCGTTGCTCAGTTTTTTCTTAATTATTGCTTAGACCCCAGTTACTGTCATAAACTAGTGCATAGATTACATCAATCCTGCCATTCTCCTAATTTGCAATTACCTTGAACAATTTGGGGCGGCATATTTTCCAATTGGTTACAGGTTGTTGATGTTGTTGCTGTTGTTTTTTGCTTATTCCAGGAATTCTGCTTCACAAGGTTTAGTTAAACATTATACATAAAATTAATACAAAGACTTGAAAGAAAGCAGTTGTTATTTAGAGACCAAGGGAATTGACACATTTCTGGGTTTGTACATTCAGAGAGTTTCAGCAGAGCCCGTTTCTTATGTAGGTCTGGCAGAGGTTTTTCCAGGAATGTGGTTTTGTGTATGTATCTCCTGCTTATTGGGGGACTCAGTGAAGATGGTTGAGTTCCCTTCAGTACCAACAACAGTTACTAAATCCAAGGGCAGTGAAGGGAGGGCAAGGAAAAATAATCACTTTTCAATTTAAACAGATTTTATGTTTAGCCCATGTCAGCTTAATATAAGTTTCTAAGTCTTTTCTAAATGACTGTTTTAATATAACCAAAATGACTTCTTTTCAGCCTGCAACAAGTCAATTAAATCTAATGGCCATCTATAGACGACTTCATATAACAACAGTAGAATACACATCTTTCTCAAGCTCACATATACCAATCATCAAGATATACCACATATGGGCCATAAAACACACCTTAATGAATTTAAAGGAATAGAAATCATACAAAGCATGCTTTTAGACAACAATGTAATTAAGTTAGAAATCAGCAACAGAAAGGTAGGTGAAAACTCTCAAATAATTGGCGATTAAACAACAGACTCCTAAATAACATATGGCTTGGAAAAGAAGTCTCAACATTTAAAAAGTACTTGAACTCAATTAAAAAGGACATATAACAATATAACGGATAGGTTTCTGCTAAAGCAGTGTTCACAGGGAAATTTTAACACTGAATGCGTATATTTGAAGAGAAGAAATATCTAAGCTTCCAAGCTCAGGATACTACAAAATGAAAAGCAGTTAAATTCAAGGTAAGCAGAATAAAAGAAATAATTAATATTAGAGCAGATGTTAATGAAATTGAATTACAAAATCAATAGAGAAAAATCCATGAAACCAAAAGCTGTTTCTTTGTAAAGACTGATAAAATTGAAAATCTTCTAACCAGGATCACTAAAAAAAAAAAAGAAAAAAAGAAAAAGAAGATATGAATTACTAATGTCAGGAAGAAAAGGAAGGCCATCATTACTGATTCATGGGTACTAAAAGGATAGTAAAGGAACAGTTTAAACAACTTTATGCCCACAAATTTGATATCCAGAATGAAATGGACCAATTCCTTCAAATACAATCTACCAAATCACACACAGCTAAATAGACAATATGTATAAGCCTATGTTAATTTTAAAAATCAAATAAATAATAATGATTTTCAATAACAGAAAGCCCCAGGCCCATATGGTTCACTGTGAACTTTTCCCAAATGTTTAAAAAATAAACCATAACAATTCTCTATAATCTATTTCAGAAAATATAAGCAGGGGAAACATTTCTGAACTTATTTTATGAGCCAAATATTACCCTAAGACCAAATAGTAAAAAAGACATTACAAGAAAGGAAAACTACAGACCAATATTTGTCATGAACTTGGATGCAAAAGTCCTCAACAATTGATAGCAAATCTAATTCAGCACTAAAAATCTATGAACCATGACCAAGTGGAATTTATTCCGAGTATGCAAGGCTGCTTCAAATATGCTAATATCAATACAATTAATCATATTAACAGACTAAAGAAGAAAAATCACATTGCCATATTAATAAATGAAAAAAAATCATTTGTCAAAGCCAATACCCATTCATAATAAAATCCCTCAATAAAGTAGGAATTGAGGTGCACTTCCTCAACCTGATAAAAAGCATCTAAAGAAAACTAACAGCTAACATCATTCTTAATGGTGACAAACTAAAAATTTCCTTGGTAAGATAAGGAATAAGGCAAAGATATCTGTCTGCTCTTAATACTTCTATTCAACATTGTCCTGAAAGTTCTAATAGTTCTAACTAATCAGTAAGAGAAACAAGAATAGAGAGAGAGAGAGAGAGAGAGAGAGAGAGAGAGATACTTAGATAGAAATCTAAGTAAATAAGTACAAGATCTACATAAGGAAAACTGAAACTTTGATGACAAAATAAAAGAAAATCTAGATAAATGCACAGCTAGTCTATGTACATGGATAGGAAGACTCAATATTTTAAAGTTCTTTTCAACTTGATGTATAAACTCAATGCAATTCCAATACGAGCAAATTATTTTGTAGATATTTGCAAACTGATTCTAAAGTTTATATGGAAAGACAAAAGACCCAGAATAGCCAACAAATTATTTAATTAATAATACTGCTTCAATATTGTCTCATTAATTATAACAAATGCATCACAAAATTTTTTAATGGATGCAAAATCCAACAATACTTTATCATTTCATCTTTATTTGAACTCTATGCAGACTATAACAGATTGTCTTACCACACAATCCATCTGTTGAAATAATGTCCTTAAAACACATAAAAAGGCAAAAAGTCAGTTCATTAGTTGGTGTGAAATAATCATCTAACTCTCCTTTGCAATATACCCTGGCCACCTCCATTTTCAACTGTATTCTGGGGAAGAAAACATAAGTATTCCTTGCACTGAAGAATTAAATTGTTAGAGAATAAAGGTAACTAATACATATATTGATTATTTGGAGAGTACTCAATTTACATGACAGCAAGCTTTTAAAAAGAAAAACTTCAAAAAATAAGCTTCTTGTACTAATAACTTAGAGGTAATGATTTTAAAACATACATCTGAGTAATAATACTGCAATGTCACAGAAAACAAAAAATACTTTTAATTAGAAAAAATTGTAATAATCTCTATTTGAAACTATAAATAAATAACTTAAGAAAAAAATATATATATACATAATATTCTACTCCAGCAAAGCCCATAAGGGGAATAGTAAATGTGATGAATTTTTGACAATAATGTCAAGAGAAAAAAAAAAAAAAACCAATGCAAAAATATATTTAAGATGCAGAAATATTTTGTATACTAATGAATTTGTGCAGAATAGAAGTTATATATTGGTCAGAAAAAATAATGTGATGGCTCCCATGATCACATTTCTTTTGCAGTTATAGCCATTCACTATTACTCTGGCCAGTGTGAGTATCAGAGCAAGTGAAAAATAAGATTCAGTGTTAATCAGGCCTCAAGACCCACTGTGTACCTGTTCCATACACAGCATACAAAGTATTTTATTTACTTGAAACTGACAAGTTTGAACACATTTGGAGAAAAGAGATGACTCTTCAGAGTAAACACAAATAGTTGATCACTTCATGCATGAGCCCGATCCTCAAGTTAATTTTGTGAATCACATGACACTCCTCTTTTGGTTCAAAAGAATTACCTATTATTGATATATGACTCAAAAGAAAAATGAATCTTGTTTTATCATATGTGTGTATGTTTATGGAGAAAATTATATTTGCACATGGCTTAAATACATTCTGCCCCATGCTATAAAATGTTATCATTATGATGAAAAATAATCGTGTTAATCTATTTCAAGGTAATGGCCAGCACTTCCTGTATGTCAACTCATCTGGCCCCAAAGAAGGATCCACTGCCAGAATTACTACTTCCAAATACTTCCCAGCAAGTCTCGGAATGTGCATTGTTCGGTTCTGGTTCTACATGGTTGATCCCAGGAGTATGGGAATATTAAAGGTACAAAAACAGTCAGAAATTTGTGGTCACTGAAATATGCATGACATGTATTTAAATATTCTTTTCCCTTTTCTTATGCAGTTGATTGTTTTTTGTTGGTCACACCACCAATGTTGATACCATTAATTGCTCATTTCTTTCGGGGCAATGGGATATTGGCAAGCTGTGCTGTCATTCATCTTAATCTCATTCGAGATTTATCTCATTGACAGCTGCCACCTGAACTCAATTAGAGTGCATGCTGTTTAAAAAGATTATCTGGAGATAAGAGAGTTTGGGCATATTCCACATGTATCTTCTAATAGCAACTTGGCTAGGGACAATGAAGAAATATGATGTGAGGGATAATGGTGAAGAGAGTTTTCTACTCCAAAGAAAGGCAGAGCAAATTTAAGATTTCAAATATGTTTTAGCTCATAGTGAAAATGACATGCCAGCTCCATTTTTAAATAACCTAAGACAAGTAAATTTTAATACTTGCACCAAACACAAAGGATGTTAAGGAAACGAGTTGCTGCATTTATACTTCTTGTATAAATAATCAATATGTTTTTCAATCATTATGAATGTTTCAAGATCCTGACATATAATTAAATGGTTATATATCAGCACACAACACCTAGTGTTATTGCCTTGCAATTATTCTATCTTGACTGAAGAAATACAATTAAGATTTTTTCTTTATCTCAAACATTATCCTTTGTAAATAGTAACAGCTATTATTATTTCCTATCTTTCAGAGCAGGTATTATAAATGTTACATGTTATCACAATTAATTTTCACATTCACCAGATGAGTTAGGTGTATTTTGCCCAATTTTACAATAAAGAAACTGAACCTCAAAGAGGCTCCAAAATTACACAATTAGCTAAAACTTGATTTCAAAAATCTGACATCTATTACCTAATGTTGTTTCTCAGGCTCTTTGTAGTCTACCAACGAAGTCTAAGGAGAAACATGAGAAAAAAAGGAGACAAAGGAAAAAGGGCTATATCAATTCTTGCCATTAACAGAAAAGGGAACGCTTATCAAGTAAAAATACATGCATGCAAATAAAGTTGAGAATTTATACTGATTCTGTGTGAATGTTTTCCCAAAAGGAAACCAGTAAAAACAATAAACAGATTCATTTTTAACAGTTTAAGAACTTAAAAATAAATGCAGAGCATACAACATCTTAGAATTTTAAAAATAGTTTTTACATACAATATGTGAATATTCAGTAGGTTAGCTTATTGTTGATGATAACTTTTATCCAGGGTAATTTGTAGCCACTGAGCTTAAAGAGACTCCACAACACATTATCCCTGCTGGCATTATTAAACATAGATGATGGTCATTTGTTACTCAATAAAGCAAACACTAATGGAAAGGCCACCAAACCTTTCAATGGAACGCAAGCAGACTTCAGTCACTTTCTAACAAAATGTTGCCTCCTCAGTTCAAAAAGAGTGCCTGCGTCTCTTTTACGTGTTCATCAGCTGCTCATTCAGCTACTTTAGTCACCCAATAAAAGGCCCTCTGCTTTTAGACATGCTTCTATAAACAGTCTTTGGAATAGAAATGTTGGCTTTCGATCTTGATTTCTGATGCCTTGCTTTTGGCGCCTACTGGTTTTTCTAACTAAAGGGCAACAGTTAAGGTTAATAATACTTTTACACTCTAAACAGTCTTCAGAGAGGTCTGCTAGTAAGAATAGTAATAGGAAACTGATAGTCAGCCTGTTATCTGATTTTTGTTGTATAAATGGTCTTTGTGGGGTGGACTGTCATAGTGACTTTCTTTTACCACTTCCATGGGTGACCCTAGCAGGGCCAATTATAGTCTTCTCTAGTTTCGACACAGAATTTGAAAGATATCTTTTTCTTCTGAATTACAAATTGTAAGGATATAGGCCTGGCTTGGGGATATTGGAGACTGTCTTCCTCGATGAGGAGAGAGACTGAGAAAGAAGCTAGCACACAGAGGGACATAAAGCTTAAAAAATGAGAAGAAGCAGGAAAGAGCCTGTACTGTTTAAACCCTGGATCCTACTGTGCCTATGCCTGTAAAATACTTTTTTTTTTTTACTTGCTCCTGAAAAATTCCTGTTACAGAATCCCAGGAAAAACTGTTTTTATGAGGTGTCCTTATATCACTGATGACTCACAGCAGTTAGGGGGAATGTCTCATTTTCTCAACTACAGCTCTGGAAAATATTTTCAGACTCTTAGTCTTAGAGTTATTCCAAGACTAAGCATGCATTCATTTCACATGTGGAGGAACCAAAGAAGTAAAAACCCATTCTCCCTACTTTTCATACTGAGACTTTCCATCAACATACTACTCTTTCACATGCAGTTCTGTGCTTTTCTTACAATCTCTGATTTGATGTGACATGATCACTCTTATAAGGGGGCTGAGAATTCATGTTTGTGTACCTATTTTTTATAAGTAACTGACACCAAAATCCAACTAATATTATCTGGAATTGTAAGGATGCAGGCCAGAAAGAATCTCTTATTTTGTAAAAGAAATCTTAAAAGAATAAAATAAATTCTCATATCCACTGTGTGGATGTAAAATCATAGATATTTTTATTTATTGCTAGTTGGGCTATATCAATTTGCAATTGTAAAGAGCATTTTGGCAATTAAAATAATAAGTTTTGTCTTACTAAAACATTTCACACCTAGACATTTATAACATGGAAATATAGATATGCATGATCTTTTATTTTCAAGGTTTTTTATCTGTGTTGTTTATAATAATAAATATTGGAAAACACCCCAGCATTAAATAATAGAAATTTGTAAAATAAAGTCCATGCACTCATACTGAAATGCTATGAAACAATTCTCAGAATAAAAAATTAGTGATAAAGGAAAGTGTTTATTATTCATTAATGATGAAAGTGAATTATTGAGGAATATGTGTACTAGAATGCAATTTTTAAAAATTATCCAAATTTTGTATATATAGATGTGTACATCTATGTATAGCTATCTATATAAATATATGTTCGTATATATGTAAAAGGGAAAACAAATAAGTGGAGGGAAATATATACTACAATGTTTAGAGTAATAATCTATAGATGGTCAGATGAAAAGGTTTTTTTCATTACTTTGTAGTCTTATATATTTTATAATTTTTCTACATAAGAAAAAATATTTATTTCTAAAGTGTCCTCATATCTGAAAAGGTTGAGATACTGCTTTAGAATTCGTTTCATATGGATTACCTCTTGGGTGAATAACAGAAAACTTGGTTCCAGAGCATACTGTAGATTATAATTGTGCTAGTCTAAAATTGTGTCTTATATTGAGAATACATATCCTTTATAAAGGATATAGCAAAGAAAATACCTAAGGTGAATTTTTACAGGAAGCAATTTTCTTGACTATGAGGCAATACAAATAGTAAGACTTTTTAAAAAGAGATTTTTAAATTATAGATTGTGGTAGTATATCTCCCTATATGCACAAATTTTACATAATCTTATTAAATGTTAAATACCTCCTGCCCTTCCATGACCTGCTCTATAATCCAGAGAACTACACTTCCGAGGATCCTTTGCTCTCTGCCATTCCGGATAGGTTTGGTTTATGGAAGGCACTGGTCAAAGACCTGAGGACAGAAAAAAGAGACATGCCTTCTTCCTCTTTCTCTCTATTTTGGGCTGAGTCTCTAACTGTAACTAATCTGTGGTTCAGCTTCTCCCAGATAGGCTCTGCCTTCTTGGGTCCATATCCTACCAAATATGCCTACCAAATTCCCTCTTCTCCCAGCATCTTGGCTTTGGTGACTGTCTTCCATTGTCCTTCTAGTTTTAGGAATGGAAACATCCTGCACATACTTATCTAAAGGCTGCATTATAATTTCCTTGCTGGTTTCTCATCTTTTCTATAAACTTTGTAATAAGTTCCCTATATTAAATTTCTGTTATTTGAAATATGTTAGAGTAGTTAGGCACTCAAAACTTAACCATGTCTTAGATGGTTTCAAGAAAAAAAAACCCCACAAAACTTTTGAATAAAAGTTTTTTTTCAAAATAATAAGAAAATTTGAGAGTGTCAGTCAGCTTCAATGTATACGCCGTACATTAATGTATACGCATTACATTATTCAAACATGACCCTTCTAGTAACAGAAAACAGAAAACAAACAAACAATACGGATAACTATTAAACCTTCAATTTGTGACATAATTTTCTAGAACAAATAAAAGGTTTTTCTGTGATAAGCATCACTCCTTGCCTTCTGAGAGAGGCATTTTATAAAGAATGTTAAGGAACCCCCTCTGAGAAAGATGAATTTAGACTTGAAAAACAAGATGGAATCAAATATTGAAGATTTTATAGCTACCTGTTTTGTTTATTTGCTTTCTGTCATTTCTATTATTTATTTGTCTTCAGTCTCTTAATAAGAGTACTAATCCATTCATGAGGTCTACCCTCATGACCCAGTCACCTCCCAAAGGCTCTACCTCCTACAACCATTACCTTGGGGGTTAGGATTTCAACATATCAATTTTGAAAAGTAATAAATATTTAGTCCATCACACAGGGAGGCAAATTAGAAGATGTTTTGATGATTTCAAAAGTCTAGAGCAGAGAAGATGCAACTTAATTTAAAATAGAGTACAAGAATAAACTGGAAAGCAATGTTCATAAATCATAAACAGGACTTATGTCTTCACTGGCATATTAAGATTATTTTCCAAATAAAGCATGCCTAAATCTTATTAGTATATTAATGAAGTGCATCATTTAAAGCTAATGTAGTCAACAATAACTTGTACAGTTGATGAGATCAAGGTGAAATTTAATTATGATTCTCCTATTATGTTTTAGAATAAAACGTCAACCTATTCTCATTTATCCCAGCCTTCCCAGTAGAGGACTACATAAGGAAAGAAAATAGTTTATAGAAATTAGGAAGACTTCACAGCCTTTTGATAGTAAATAAATGATAATAAAATAATAAAATGTTCACACAGACATAATATCCTTCTATT